TTGTTTAGATACTATAATGTTATCATTCTAGTAATTTTTCCCTAGTTCTGCTTACTTCAGAAGTTTTCCAAGTTTTCTGAGAAACTGTAGATTTCATCATTTATGTCATAAAATATTCCATTATATTCATATCACAATTTGTTCAGTCATTTCCCAATTGATGGGCATCCCATTAATTTTAAATTCTTTGCCATTCCAAAAGAGCTGCTACAAATATTTTTGTATATGTAGGTCCTTTCCCTCTTTCTTTATTTCTTTGGGGGCAAAGGTATAATAGTAGAATAGCTAAGTAAAGGGGTATACACCTTTTTAGGCTTAGTATCAAATTATGTCACAGAATGGCTGGACTAATTTGCAGCTACAGTACACTAATGTGTCTTCTCTCCAACATATGAGGAAACTGGGATTGGAAGAAGTGACTTGTCCAGGGTCCCATAGCGAGAAAGTGTCTGAGGCAGAATCTAAAATTGGTTTTCCTGACTCCAAGTTCAGTACTCTTATCCACTATACCTCCTAGATGTCATATGAACTGCATGTTTTTTCAAGCTCTTTAAAATTCTTTTGGTAGTTTAACTGACACAGCAATGAATAAGTAAACTAATTCAGATAATGTCATTTTTATTATTTTGGCTCAACCTACCCAAGAGCAAGTAATGTTTCTCCAATTATTTAGGTCTATTTGTATTTCTGTCAAGTGTTTTAGAATTGAAGCCATCTATTTCCTGTGTGCATTTTGATAGACACAATTAAAAATATTTATACTTCTGTATCAACTATGAACAGAATTTCTCTTTCTAGTTCTTCCTGCTGGGTTTTGCTGGTAATATATAGGAATGCTAATGATTTATGTGAATTTGTTTTCTATCACATAACCGTTGATTTTATTTTGAAATAATTTCTGGTTGACTCTTTTTCATTGTTTTCATTAAGCAAATCAAAAACATTATCTACAAAAAGTCATCATTTTGTTTCCTTTCTACCTGTACTTATTTCGATTTGAAGTGTGGCTGATGAAAAGGCCAGAACTGAGTAGAAAATGTAAAATACAAAAAGAGAAACAGAGAAAAGTAAATTAATCTGATCAGCTAGAAGGATTAACTGATGAATTGGTCACATATTATTGGGGGAGAAGAAAGAATATCCTCTAAAAACCCTAACATTCTGAAGAGTTACTGAAAAAGTTAAATACGCCAGGTAGAGGATCAAGAAGTGGTTTTGTTCTGCTTTGATGGTCTTAGAAAAAGAAAATGGGAAGCAAATGGGTTGGAGGAAAAGAAGAGGAAAGGGAGGGAGGAACTCTTACACACTGGGGGAACATAAGAAAAAGAGTGTATCAAGATGAAGACAGAAGAAATGGGCACCGAATAAACCTTACACACAATTTGAAGAGTACAAAAGAATTTTGAACACGTAAGTGTGCATATTTACACACAAAGAATGTGATGGAGAATTTGGAACTATGCCCAAAGGGCAACCAAACTGTGCATACCCTTTGATCCAGCAACATACCACCACCTGGTCTTATCCCAAAGATATTATAAAAAAGGGAAAAGGATCTACATGTACAAAAATATTTATAGTAGCTCTTTTTGTTGTGGCAAAGAATTGGAAATTGAGGGGATGTCTATCAATTGGGGAATGGCTGAAGAAGTTGCGGTGTATGAATATACTGGAATACTATTGTGCTAAAAAAAATTGATGAGCAGGCAGATTTCAGAAAAACCTGGAAAGACTTACATGAACTGATACTAAGTGAAGTAAGCAGAACCAGGACAACATTGTACACAGCAACACCATATGATGATTACCTATGATAAACTTAGTTCTTCTGAGGAATACAATGACCAAGACAATTCCAAAACACTCATAATAGAAAATGCTAACCAGATCCACAGAAAGAACTATGGCGTCTGAATGCATATTGAAGCATTCTATTTTCACTTTTTTGTTGTTTTTTCTTTCTCATGGTTTTTCTCTTTTGTTTTGATTCTTCTTTTAAAACATGATTAATGTGGAAATATGTTTAACATGATTGCATATGCATAACCTATATCACACTGCTTGCTGTCTTGAGGAGGGCTGAGTGGAGGGAGGGAGGGAGAAAAATTTGGAAGTCAATTTTACAACATCAATGTTGAAAACTATCTTTACAGGTAATTGGGGAAAAAATAAAATACTATTAAGAAAAAAAAAAGAATGTGATACAGAAATACATTAAACAACAGGGAAATACGCAGGCACAGGGAGTTAGGTGGGTAAAATAAATGAGGCGGTAACCATAAGCAAAACAAGGGGTGGTTTCAGAGAAACATGTAAAATGTTGTAGTGTGAAGTGAGAAGAACTGTGAGGACAAATGATACAATAACAACATTATAAAGAAAAAACAATTTTTTGAAACATTTAAGAAATCTAATTGAATGCAATGTCCAGCTAAAATTTCAAAATACTGAAAATGAAGTATTCTTTCTACCTCTTGAGAGTTGATGGGCCCAAGATGTAGTCAAACATAGCCAGTGCGGCAATTTTTGTTACAAGGTCTTTATTTTTCTTTTTTCTCAATGAGGGTTTAGGGAAAGGAGAGGATAGCACATTAATAAAGGAGAAAGAAAAGGTCACTAAGACGCATTTTTTTTTAAACGCAGAAAAGGAATTTCAGAAACAATAATGGACAAGTAGTAAGGCTTTGAAAGTCAGAAGTTGAATGTATTATATTTTAAAACAAAAATCAAGCCATATTTAAGTACTCATCTGAGATTTCATGTACAATCTATTTTTTTCCTGTTCTACTATGTATGTGGAAATGATTATTTTATTTGGGCTTCAGAATAAAAACAAATTATGACTCCCAGATGAAGAGAAAATAAGGGTACACAGACATCAATAAGACTCCTAGGGTGGATAACTAATCCCATTGGATATAAAGTATGGTCTTTTTGTTATGAAGCTGGCTAGATATCAATTTGGACTCACTCATTAACCAGTCAAGAAAGCTTAGTCCCAGGAGAGAGTTCCAAAACTTAGTGGATCAAGTCCCCTAGAATATGGTCTCTGGAGAGCAAAGGGTCCCAGAAGGTAAAATAGTGGGGTAAATGGCAAGTAAACTAGATGGGTTGTGAAGCATGAAAGTCTCACCACTGCTACATATTGATTTTTTTTGTGACCCTGTGCAAGTCACTTAACCTCAACCAGTGCCCCTAATAAACTTTAAAATACCACATAAGTATCAGTTAATGTTAGAATAATGGGCTTTGAACACTTTTCACTCCAACTCTGTTATAATATAACCCCTTTGGGATATGGATACAAGTCATTAATATAACTATGCATTTTATTTTGTATTTCATTTTTACATAATGAATACATAATTAGAAATTAACAACTATTTACTCCAAATGCTAGAAAAGAAAAAAAAAAACTAGTTGTTACTATCAAATCTCAGATAGCTAGGTGGTGAAGTGGGTAAGAACACCAGACTTGGAGTCAGAAAATCTGAGCTCAGGGGCAGCTAGATGGTGCAGTGGATAGAGCACCAGCCCTGAAGTCAGGAGGACCTGAGTTCAAATCCAGGCTCAGACCATACACTTGACACTTACTAGCTGTGTGACCCTGGGCAGTCACTTAACCCCAATTGCCTTTAAAAAAAAAATAAATAAAAAAAAATAAACACACACACACACGATCTGAGTTCAAATTTCATTTCAGACCCTTACCAGATGTGTGACCCTGGGCAAACAACTTAATCTCTTTCCAGCCCCAGTTTTCCCATCTATAAAATGGAGATAATAATAGCACTACCTCACAGAGTTTTTGTGTGGATCCAATGAGATAATATCTGTACAGCATTTTGCAAATATTTAAGTTCTATATAAGTTAGCTAATATAATGATAATGATGATGATAATTCATCCAAAATTCTATTCTATACTCTACTACAAGGATACTCCCAATTGGAACAATTCCCTTCTTTTTATGGTTTAGTTTTCACTATCTTGGTGATAGCTGCCAAATACTTAAAGGTGGATTATTCAATATCACTACTATAAAATGCATTGTACAATTTACTTCACATGCATTACTATCAATACTCTCCAATAAATTCCACGAGATTGACACACACACATGAAATAATATGCCACAGAGGAACCAGAGGTCAAAAGGCTCTAAATAAGCATTGGTAATAAAACAGCAGAGTCTCAGAGTTTTGTTTTTTTTTTAAATAAGAATAAGTCTTTTAACAGGTTACACACTTCTACAAAAGGCATGGACAGAGTCTTCTGATAATATACCTACCATAGAGCCCCAAGACCTAGAATGAAACTTTGTCTTTGGTATATATAGGTTAAATAAATATTTGTGAAAACAAATAGAATAAGATAGAAATGATATTACCTGTTAATCCAAAACAAAATGAGTATTATGACTCAACAAGGACTGGAACCAATAAATTAATCCACAGATAGAGTAGACCACAGATTTTTCTGTTTCCACAATAGAGGAGAGGAAGCAATTACTATACTAAACTAATACCAAGTACAAAAAAGTATCTCAGTTCTGTCACTTCAGCAATACAACTTCCTTGGTGTAAAATCAATCGATATAACACAATGAAAAATTAAGCCTGTGACTTAGGCCTTTGAAACTGATGGTACAGATTTTTTCTAGAAGATAACACCCTGGCTTGATATAATGGAAGTTTCAAATATTTTCCCAATTTTTTGCCTACCTGTATTGTTTATTTATTGAAACCAGATAAGCTGGTTTAATGTTTTTCTCGGCAAGTTTCACTTTCTAAATCTTAAGAGATTAGTATAGTGTAAATTAACTTAAGAGACGATAAGTGAATGAAGATAACAATGTGTAAAGAGCTCCTCTGTTAATTCCTTATCTCAATTTACAGAAATTTACATCTAGGGACCAACTACTTAAAAATATTTATTCTCTTTTTGAAGATGAAAAAAAGTCTGATCGTAAAGAGAGAAATTCTTCCTTTGTAACTAACCTGTTTATCCACATTATGAGGTTCAAGAGAAGGACTACATGGAGCAGAATCAATTCTCCAATTCCCCTTGGAGTTTTCCACCTTCAAGGAATCAATCATTCTGCACTGCTGTTTTATCAAATCTTCAGGCTGTTGGGCTTCACCAAGAACAACTGGACCCTGGGAAAGAAAGTTACCAAAGATTTTCAGAATAAACTAAAGTTAAAAAAAAAACACCAGGAAAAACAGACACAGAATGAAAATACCATCATGATACATTTATATAACTTTTTTTTTTTTTAACCAGGCCCTTTGCAATTTAATCTCTCTCACAAACTGGGACCCACTGGTCAATCTGTCACTTAGTCTGCTATTTATGGAGCATTCAATTTTTCCAACTGTACAAGAAAAGTGATTCTCAACTATATGAAATTAGAATAAAGAAAATTAATAAATTATTATGCAAAGAGAAAGAACAAGGCAGACACTATGTACATTCTCTTACTTAAACTGACCAGCTGAAATACATGACTGTCCCTGGCAGTCCTAAAAAGTTCCCTTCTGTCCTAAATACAAACTGCTTGAAAATTTTCTTCCTGCCTGTCCCAGTATTACTTCGGACCTGGAAAACCCCATTAATTTTGTTCCTCACTTTTCACTTTATCCTAGTCCTAATACAAGGCAATTAAATAGTAGTAAAGGGCTGGTGGCAGAGGGAGTCGAAAAAAATCATTATAAGGGTAGTCTTCACATTAGAGTTCAGATTATTTCTTCGTAATTTCTAATGGCTGATTCTACCTGGTTTTTTCCTTCTAGAATTACACTGAGGGCTTCCACGTGACTATCTTTCAAAATTATTTGAAGACCAACAAGGCTGTCCTTCCAAGTCTTGTCTTCATTAGGCCTAAAATCTCATTTTTTAAAAGTCAATTCCATGAAATGAATTTTGAGTGTCTTACCATTATAGTTTCCCTCACTCTAGTTTAGCAATGTGCTCTTAAAATGTGGCATCAAGAGCCGAACATGATATTCCAGATGTTGTCTAGCATTAATCCTGACACCTCTTTTCTGTATATTATATAGCTCTTAGCCAATCAAAACTCTTTGGTCTTTTCCATACAAACTACATTTATACAATTAGGGACCTCTCGTCACATATAAAAATACACATATATAAAAATCCCTTGTTTTTTTAACCTAAGCACAAGAATATATTTCTCTCTAATAAATTTCATCGTTAGTTGTAGATCATATTGTGACTGTGAAGTTCATTCATTGTGGACTGCAAAGTTGTTCTTGAATTTTGAGCATGTCACCCACTATGTTAATTATCCTTACCAGTAATGTGTCAATTTCTTCCTATGTATTTATCCAAATAAATGGAAAAAAAAAAGTGAATAAGACACGGGAAAGGACAGACTCTACAAACTTTCCAGGGGAAGGGCCATAGGCACCCAAAGCTCATAAGTTTGTCTAGCATAATTTAAGAGACCATTAATCAGATGCTACTTCTATTTGAAAAAAAATTCCCAATTTATCACTGTTCTTCTGACCCCATTGCTGATTCACTGATACTTAGAAGACTTTATTTGTAGAAAGATTTTTTCCTGGTTTCCCCTAATTCTGCCTTGAAATCTCCTTCAACTTGTTACGAAATTATTTGACTCCAGAAATGATTTTTGAATGGGGAATTCATAAGTGGTTTCCCACCATCTTGCTGTTCAGGGTTTCCACTCCTGAAGAAATCTGTCCCACAGCTCTACTTGAACAATGTTCATACAGTCTCAGTTTTTATACTTTGTTGCTAATGCTGCTTTAATAACTTTAATAAAGAAGAAACACCAGAGGGAAGAGAATCATCAGCTGAGATTTATAGGAATTCTGCCCTAGTGGAAGATTAATTCAAGAATAACTTGTGATTGTAAGGATATATTTATATAGAACATGTATTACTATTTTTCACACATGTATTTAAAGTTTATTTACTTTTAAAGGAAAGGAAGAATACCAATCTACTATTACAAGTTATTCAAAAGGTATTACAACGAAGGGGGGGAAGAAATCAAACAACTACGGGTGTTCTGAGTTCCACCTCTGAAAAACCCATAAACATTAGAAATGAATTTTGTTGTTTACCCCTTTATTAACTATGATATCTCATCAATGACCTCTTATGGGAAGCCAAGAAAAAGATACAACAATTTAAAACTTTTCCTCTTCCCACTAAGGTATACAATTACTCTAAAAGCTCTTTAATTTTTTTAAATTTAATTTGACTTTTTACAATTATTTTCTCTTTCCTTCAAGGCAACCAGGTAGCACAGTGGCTAACAATGCTGATTCTTGAAGTCAGGAAGACCTGAGTTCAAATTCAGCCTCAGACACTTCCTAGCTGTGTGATCCAAGGCAAGTCACTTAACCTGTTTGCCTCAGGTTCCTCATCCATAAAAAGCACCGACCTCCCAGTATTGTTGTGAGGATCAAATGAGACAGGAAGTATAAAGCACTTAGCATAGTGCCTGGCACACAGTATGTAGCATATAAATGTTAGTTATTATTATCATTATTATTATTATCCTTTATCTCCCTCCTCCAGAAAAAAAAAAGACAATAAATTTGCATAGACAAAGACAAAAGAAATTCCCACATTGGCTTTATCTAAAAATGTTACATCTTATTCTCAATCTTTGATCTATCACCTCTCTGTCAGGAGGTAAGTTTATCAATGGACCTCTGAAATAGTCACTGCACTGAACAGAGTTCTTAAGTCTTTCAAAGTCATGTGTATTTATGATGCTGCTGTTAGTGTATAAATTTTCTCCTGGTTCTGCTCACTTTATTTTGAATCCATTCATTTGGGTCTCCCAGGATTCTCTGAAACTGTCCCTTTCTTCATTTCTTGCAATGCATTAGGATTCCCTTAATTCATATGCCATAATTTGTCAAGTCACTCTCTAACTAATGTGCTTTCCATTTTTCCTTTAGTTTCCTGTTCTCTGTCAACACAAAAAGATCTGGCAGAAGTATTTTTGTATACATAGGTCCTTCTCTTCTCTTTGATCTCTTGAGGGTCTCATGCTAGTAGCTGTACAGTTGGATTAGAATTTGCATCGATTAATAACTATTGGGAACATAGTTCCAAATTGCCTTCCAGAACGGCTGGACCAATTCAAAGCTCCATCAACAGCAGAGTCATGTGTTCCATTTCCTGTAGTCCCTACAATAATTGTTATTTCCTTTTCTGTCATCTTTGGCCATCAGATTTGACATAGAACACCAGTTACTTTTTAAATTTTACATTTCTTAGTGATTTGGAGCATTTTTTAATATGGTTACTGGTAGTTTAGATTCCTTCTATTGAGCACTGCCTATTTAAATCTTTTGAACATTTGTCAAATGAGGAATGGATCCTAGAAAATTCTTATTGCTCAACTCTTGCCACTTCCACAAGACAGAGAGAAACAAAGTTTGGAAACAAAGATCATGCTGGCCCTTTGGTATTATTGCTAGGAGGCCCTGTTCCAGGCATGAAGCCTTAAACAGCTCTATACTTCCTCTCAAGCCAGGCCTGCAAAATGGACCTTTGTTATTTTTTTAGGGTTGTGACTTCTTTTATCAGACATACTCATGGTCAATCAGATGTTTAGCACACAATCTGTTTTTTATTCCCAAACAAGCTAAATGAATTTGGGATTATACTACTCTGCTTCGTTGCATTTTACTGGATATTCAAGGAATAGCCCAAAGTATAATGTTTGTCCCTAATAATTGGTGCTGGCAAATAAGTGAAGTGAATCATATTTTCCTGTTTAACAAGATTCTTTTAAGAAACAATTACTCAGTTATCGAGTGCCTCTACCGTAAAACACTGTGCTCACAGGTACTGCGGGGTAAACAAAAAGGAATGACAGTGCCTGTGTCCTAAAGGTACTTAAAAACTATCTGGGAAGTTGAGATCTATATAAAAATATACTCTCTCTCACTTCCTCATATATTCTCTCTATCTTTCTCTCATTCTCACACACACACACACACACGATAGAATGTGACAAGTCCCATACAAATGCAACCTTTTCCATGCCATCTGGTAGAGAGCAAAAGTGTGCAATTATCAAATGAGCAAGAGCAACTTAAGACAGGGCTATTACCCGGTTCACCTGGGTATCATCATTTCAACTGTGAAACTACTTCTGGCTCCTCTACCTTCAAAGAGAGATACATACAGAGACTCCTGGGAGTCAAACCTGTTTACGTCAGAGTACAAAGAAGAAAAAAAAAGATGCAGAGGAGGACAAATGCGTGCACACAGAAACAAAAGCATCTACTGTATAAATACTGGAACAGGAGAAAGGAAGAGAAAGCCAGTTACACCAAACTAGGTGGGACAGAAGTCCCTAGAATACTCAGAAAACGCCATCTATAGGCAGAATCCTCTCTGGTAAAATTCCCACAAAACCTGCAAGGATAACAAGATAGTCAACGATAGCAGCATGTAACTTGATGAGTTTTGTAGCTATGACCACTCAGTGGTTTTCACACGAAGAGACGTTATCAATTAACTGACTACAGCTGTGAATTTGATGCTCAAGCAACATTCCTGGGCTTTGTTAGAACTGAAATGTTAGGATTGCTAGAAATAAACAAACAAACAAAATACTAGGGGTATTTAGCAGACAAGAGAAATTTTATAGTTGGAGGTCAGGACAGCATTTGAAGATTGTAAGTGCAAGTTAAGTGCAAGAGATTAATAAATTTGGATATAAAGAGTAGTTATAAAGATGTCAGAAAGCAAAACTTTCTAGAAGTCTATTAAAATCATCATTAAAATGGATTAGTCTTATTTCTTCCAACTTAAGATGGTAAGGAGAAAAATATCTTTTTGATTAAAATCAACCCAATTGTGACTATTCTTCAGTCAGGAAAGGCAGGGGAAATCTTTCACTATAGATAATAAGATCATACTCAAAAACATTATAAAGACATTAAAGCCAAGATTACTGAGAAAGCCATGTACAACAGATGGCTCCACCTCCTCTCCTCTCTCTTCTTAACCCTACAATCTGGTTTCTCACCTCATCATTCCACCAAAGCTACAAATTATCTCTTAACTGCCAAATTCAATGACTTTTTCTTAATCCACATTTTCCTTGGCCTCTCTGCAGCCTTTGACACTGTTAACC